TCAATGTAATTACCGTTAATCCGTTCCGGCGTCCGCGGACCACGCATCAGGGGCGGAAAAATGGCCACGGACCACGTGGCACGGGTGGAAAAATGGCCGCGAACCACGTGGAACGGGGGGAAATGGCCGCGGACCACATGGAATGGGGGGAAATGGCCGTGGACCACGTGGCACGGGTGGAAAAATGGCCGCGAACCACGTGGAACGGGGGGAAATGGCCGCGGACCACATGGAATGGGGGGAAATGGCCGTGGACCACGTGGCACGGGTGGAAAAATGGCCGCGAACCACGTGGAACGGGGGGAAATGGCCGCGGACCACATGGAATGGGGGGAAATGGCCGTGGACCACGTGGCACGGGTGGAAAAATGGCCGCGAACCACGTGGAACGGGGGGAAATGGCCGCGGACCACATGGAATGGGGGGAAATGGCCGTGGACCACGTGGCACGGGTGGAAAAATGGCCGCGAACCACGTGGAACGGGGGGAAATGGCCGCGGACCACATGGAATGGGGGGAAATGGCCGTGGACCACGTGGCACGGGTGGAAAAATGGCCGCGAACCACGTGGAACGGGGGGAAATGGCCGCGGACCACGTGGAACGGGCGGAAAATGGCTGCAGACCACGTGGAACGGGCGGAAAAATGGCCGCAGACCACATGGAACAGGCGGAAAAATGGCCGCGGACCACATGGAACAGGCGGAAAAATGGCCGCGGACCACGTGGCACGGGCGGAAAAATGGCTGCGGACCACGTGGCACAGGCGGAAAATGGCTTGTAAGTCGAGGCGAGTTTGAAATTAGAGGTAAATTTTTGGGGCCGGAGCTGATCGTATCTTGAAAATTTCATAAGTGGGGGCGTTCGTAAGTAGAGGTACCACTGTACTTGTAAAAATAACCTACACATTCAAAGAAGTATGATGCAATAATTGCAGAGGAAATTACTTTATATTTCTAGACAAAAAGCATAATTAGATATATCAATCTATTACAAGCATTCCCAGAGACTAGGACAGAATCTCTAATACTGTTGTGACTCAACTGTAAGTCACCAAATATTGCACAACCTTTCAAGGTACAACTTAACATCCACTGCAATTCTATGTTTAGCCAATGTGTTTAGACTAAGATTGGGAATGAGGGCTCAAACAGTCCCTCCATCATGAAGATATATAGAAAATTCTGGATCAATCACCCAAGTCTCAGATTAGCCTACTTCATGATGTTGGTGTGGATATACATGACAGACCATACAAACAACCTTGAACTCTTGTTGGAAAGTCATGATATAAATATAAATGAAATACTTCAGAGGAAGCCCTACTGTGTTTCAAGAGGTTTACCAACAAATAAGATAGTTGTTTCTACCTGTCCAATCTGATCCGGCAGGATGGGCATACTCCGGGTCCCGTCAGCCAAGGAATGTCGGCAGGCGGGGACCCGGAGACGTGCCCTTTCTGTTGTGGTGGCTGCCCTCTGGGACATCCTCCCTCCTGAGATTAGGATGGCCCCAACCCTTTTGGCTTTTCGGAAGGCCTTGAAGACCTGGCTTTATGCTCGGGCCTGAGGCCCTGAACATGGGAAGGGCCCCGTTTCATGGTTGTGCTGATACTGACGGTTTTTAAAGATCTCTTGGTTGTTGTATTTATACTTATATTTAATTTTTTGTACTGTTTTAAATGTTGACTGTTTTTATTGTTGTTAGCCGCCCAGAGTCACTGGTCTGAGATGGGCGGCTATATAAACTGAATAAATAAATAGTGTGCTAATATTGTTTGAACCCAATTCTTTAGCAGCTTCGAAGCTCCAAAATTCTTAAGTATACTGGAGAAGGCATTAATAGAGGCTGAACCAGCAATTCAGTATTATCAAAAAATTACATATACATATATACACACACACACACACACATAGACACACACACAAGCACTCTCAAACACTTATACATTATATACAAAAATGTTGAATAGAAAACTGGAGTATATTACATTACATTGCAAAATCAATGGCTTCATGTTTTAAGAAACAGCACATTTTGCACAATTTAAGGACTTAAATAAAAGCATTGCATTTTTCATTACTTAAACTGAAACAAGGCAATATTAATTTCTCATCTTTTCCTTTGTTTTTTAGTTTCTGTCTTAATTTTTAGGCATACTATGTAACTTAATCATCTAAACGAACTGAATGTATTCATTTTCTTCTTAATTTTATTACTTGCTTTATTTATATTACTTGCACAACTGTACTATTAATTGTACTGGCTTAAAAATGCAATAAAAATACTGTATTTAAAAAAATATTTCCTCTATCAATATCTTTAACATTTCTACCTGTGGCAGATATTTTGCTTAAATTCTAATACTACACTTTACCTTAGCTTCTAAGTATGTAAGGATGAAGCACATCTGGTTTAGATTTACCAAATTCTTTGCCTTATATCCAAACCTTTTACCCCCACTTCCCAAACTTTATCATCAGACAAATCAAAGGCCAGACATTTATTAAACCAAAGATAAGAATCTGTATTCACAGAAAACATGAGCAAATTCTGTTTCTTCAACTGTAACCCCTTAACAATTAAGAATTCCTTCAAAACTCAGGTTCTATCAATCTTGCCAGTAATATTAACTACTGGAATACTGGAGAGATCAGTTTAAAAGGTTAACCTATTTTTCTCTTTAGTAACTCTTTAAAAATTGCCACCATTTCTTAGTAAATTAACCTTGACTGTTGAATTGTGTTGCATCTAAAAATTAAGAAATGACTCATTTCACAGCTGAGAGAACATTTTCATATCCTAAGAGTATCTTTGGAGGGCTTGTTCTGCAACCCGTCAAATAATGATATGTGGCAAATGGTCACTTGGAAGCAGGCTTTTTCAGCAGTGGCTTCCTGACTTTGAAATGCCTTCAGCAGAGAGGTACAGCTAGTGTCATTTTTATTCTCTTTCTGCTACCAGACAAAGCCCTTTTTATTCTTCTAGGCATTTTAATAAGCTAATGCTGTGATATTTCTAACACCTTTCCTACTAATCTTGCTCTTTTACTGCTTATTTTGTTTGAATTTTAAACTGCTTTGAGATTAATGGAGAAAATATACAAATGCTTTAAATAAGCAAAATAAACATTATCAATTCAATAAGTGATATGAACAAATCAGAAACACTATTTAGCAACAAATTTTCTTGCACCACAATTTACTCTTTTCATGATCATAAATCACAGGACCAAGTCTGAAGGCGCCACATGTCCCCTAGCAACCTTAGATGCAACTCCAAGAAATCTCTAGAAGTTGTAATTTGGATTGTGATATAAGAAAATTAAGTTCATTGTTTGTAATTGTATTTGATTCTAATCAGAACTGCCAATGAGTCACTACTTTTGGATGTGCCATCCCCAAGACACACTTGAAGACTAAATACATCTCTTGGCCCACTAAATATTACAGACCTTGGGCAAAGATATACTACTTCCTAACTCATCAGGTGAATTTTCCTTCAGCCAAAATTATTTCATTTTAAAACTGAAAGGAAGCAGCATAATACTTGCTAGTAATTTAAATATCATCAACACCCTTCCCAACCATCTGGGGCCAGTGTGTACAGCTAGAATTTTGAAACCATATATTGTCATAAAATGACTATCATGGCCATGTTAGAGACTAAGGGCCTACAGTTATTAAAAAGTTCAATATATTATTTACAGCCATCTTTTTTCAAAACATACATCCTTATTATATTCCTTAACACATACCTGGCAGTTTTACACTCTGATTGAAATTGCATGAGGCTTCATTTGTTCTTATGGGTATGCTGCCCTACAATATGAGGTAAAGAATCAGACCACATGGGAACTGTTATGTCAAGAAGTTTTTAAAAATCAGTTAATATTGTAAATATAATAAAGTACATCTGCTTAAGCAGGAGTTGGCTGTTAACATTTTGAATAACTGTTCCCTTAACTACTCTAGTGTTGGAGAATACTGTATAATTCATTAATTACCCTTTCTCTTTCACTATCAACCTGTGATCACTGGTAACAAATGTAGAGGCTTAGAAATAGCAGATTATATGACTAAAAAAAACCTCATTTACTTGTAACTGTCCACTTAAATAAACATGGCTCATTCCCAACTGAGTCGCGCAGAATTATAATCTAAACCTGTACTCAAGTAGCTGCTTGCTTTGCAATAGGAAGCAGACAAAATATCTTTAATTAATAGATATAAAATTACCCTCTGTTCAGCAAAGCAGGAGAGTCAAGTGGCAAATTGAGTTACATCACTTTAGACTACAGAGGGGTGATCTAATGCCTGTTTGCTAATATAACTACACGCCACCCAAAGTCATTTAAACTCCCAGAATTTGAGACTGAAATTTCCTGAATGCCCCAAAAGCAGGCTTGGGAGTTCTGGGAGTTGCATAAAACCACATCTTGAAGGCTCCAGGTTGAAGAAGACTGGCTTAGGCCATTAAGATTAGCCGTCGTCATCACTTTGACTAGGTCAACCTCTAATCGGAAACTTAGTACAGGACCAGATATTAGAATTTATACTTTCCAGGATTGACGGGTTGTTTCCTAATCCTTCTACCCAGATCCCTATTTCAACCGACCTCCCATTCTCTGCACATCCAACCTCAGGAAGGTAGCGCGCATCTGACCTAAATGCAGGAGAAACAGCGAAAGCCTCAAGACCTCCAACTTCCATACTGTAGCCACCCACCGGCTTCTGGAAGCTGGGCTGGAAGACGGGCAAGGCCCCACTCCCCCCTCCACTATGCTCTGTAATCTCCGTATCCCAGTCCTCGTCACCCATGGCGGCGTCGGCCAACTCCACGTCTTCCTGCGAAGGGAGAAAGACAGTCGAAGCGTCAAACCGAGGAGAGACAAAACGCAGCCCTTAAGATGGCCGGAGGGAGACCTCCCTCCAACTCAGAGACGCCGTTCTGCCTTACAAACGGCCCCTTCCATCCACTCCAGCTGCTTCTCCCGCCAAAAGCCAGCCTGACTCCCCGCCGCCCGCCCAACTCTCCCTTCCGATGGTCACCCGGCGGCGGAGGCCCTTCCCGCCCCAGGGAGACCGGGCTGCCTCGCCTGCTCCCCTCACACGAGGGCCGGAAATGAAGCGCAGAGCCAGCAGTCCCGCACCTCACCTTAGCGGCGCCCGAGTCTTAAGCCGCCCCGGACGCGGACGGAGCGCCTCGTCAGCACGTGCTCCAGCTGTTGCCGCCTAGCCCTCCCCGGCGCTGCAGCCTCCTGGCGGTGTGTCCGCCGGCCGGCCGGCCGAGGCGCCCGGGAATTATCGGAGTCGCAGGTCGGGCCCCGCGTGCACGGAAGCCTCGCCTTCGCGCCTTTCACAACCCCGGGAGCAAATTTCACCAGGGGGCTGGGGGGGGGGGGGTTTTTGGCTTTGCTCTGAGCAACTCCTGTCCAGCATATTGATCGGTGTAAAGTTTTTTCAAGAGCCTCATCGGTGCACGACTCCTTTGGAAGGCATGTGCGTCGAGTGGCGTAGGGCTTCCTTTGCTTTACGGGTTTGAATGCTGTTACTTTGCTTTTTGGGGGGGGTGTGGCAAATTTATTAATGAAATAGTGGCTGCAGGGTTCCCTGAACCACACACTAATTGATCATGAGTTTTTAACTAGTATGCGTTGTACAAATGCAATCCCTGCAACTAGTTTATGTTTTGTCGTGTCCCGTGATACCAGAAATTGGGTTGATTAACCATGATTAAATTGATTACTTAATTATTTTATGATTCGGTAGATTAAAATTGGGTTGAACAACCACGGATATGATTGTTGGGCCGACATCAGCAATGGCTTCTAGAGAATCATAATTGGGAAAATTGAACCCAAAACAAACCACTTGTTGGAAGTGCTGCCGAAATCCAGAACGGTCAAAAGAGGTGACAAGGGCAAGGCTGGTTTGCCTCATTCTTCTGTTCCCTCGTCCTCGGAAGCTGAGTGCCAGCTTGCCCACCAATCAATCTTTCCACTGCTGCCTTCTCCCTACATCTCCATAGCCACTACTGGGCCCTGGGCTTCAGTCCTGGTACGGTATATCCGATGGCCTGCCCTCATGCCCCTTTCCCCATCTCTGTTTAAGGCAAATTGGGGAGACCAGCCAGAAGGATGTATAGCACTTGAAACTGAGGACATTGTCAGCTGAGGGAAGGGACATAGGAGACAGAAAGTCCTGGGAAGCTCCAGTGGGCAGACTATCTTGATGACCCTGGTTTTTTCCTGCTCCCTGCGGAACAATTTTGCCTAGAACACATGTGTTCCTTTCCTGGACCTTTGGTCCCGTGTCTGGACAAACATGTTTTGCTTCCATGTCTGAACTAAACACATCTGGATATGGGTCACTGTTCTGTGCAAAAGAAAGTATTGACAGGGCTCTAGTTTTGCCTGCACAGCCTGATGGCTTGCATATACAAAGGTAGATGGTTGCACGTGCTTGTTCCCGCTTTGCCTGGACAAGCCAGTACTTGCATGGGCAAAGTCAGAACCCTGTCAGAACTTACTCTGCTGCGTAAGCTGTTGGCTTGGACAAGCAAAGCTGCTGGAAAAGCTCACAGCACATTCTGATAGGGCTTCAGCAAAGATGGATCCCATCAAAATTTGTTCCTGCTCTACCTGGACAAGTTAGCATCTGGCTTGTCCAAGCAAAAGTGAGGAGGAAAGCCCAAAGTGTTCTCTGTCTGGACAACCGACCACAAATTCAGGATTTTCTGTAGTTGCTCCTATGGATCAATCATTCGTTGATCCAAAATAAATGAAAAATGGGAGTGGCTGTTTCAGACATTATGCAAAACTAAACTACCTCATCCTTCCCATTAAAAAAAATGATTTAAGTTTTGATTGTTTTGTTTTTGATTAAAAAGTTTAATAAGTTGCAAGTCTCTATTATGTTACCACCTTTTAAATTTAAGCCAATTTTAATTATATTTTACCTAAATAAATGTTACTAGAATTTATATTAATTTATTAATAACTTCAATTAAATCATTGTTTTATTCACAGGAGTGCCACATGAATGCATTTTTTAATTGTAAGGGGTCACAGATACTATATTGGGGAAGATTGTTTTAATGGGTTCCTGCTCTCCCCCCAAAACAGCCCATTGAGGAACAAACGCACTTTTGATCAATTGGAACAGTGTGACTGAACCCCTCAGATGGCCACATTGGCCACAAGAAAAACATTCAAAAGTCCAGATTGAGGCAATATTCTCACTAGGTCAACTTGTGATTCAGATTCCTAAGAATCCTTAGGCAAGAAGAAAAGAAAAACAAAAGGCTGGTATTAGCTGTTTAAGTATGTCTGCATTAGTTTATAGTCTCGGAGAGTTTAGTGGTCTACAGATATACAAACTAGGTGCCATGCTATGAAGAACAGAACAAATTCATTCCCCAAGTAACATCTTTCTAAACCGAATCTGACATCACTAGTTGCCAGGATAAATATGATTATGTATTCTCTCCATCAGCTGGGACTGAGTCAGGCTGACAAGTTTATGAAGATTTAGTTTAAATTCAAAAGGAGGTGCCAATCTCCAAAGGAGAATGGTGGTTCAGTTCTCATACTGTACTTACTCCTGAGGAAGAGAAAAATTCCACCTCCCAAATAAGCAGATTAATTTTGAGGGAGGGACAGCTTTTTAGTGAATTTAATACTTTCCAATGCCAGTCACCCTTTCCCCTTGCTTTATCTGCACTCCATTTTGTAATGTCCTTTCTCTCCTCTTCCTAGAGCACATCCAGACTGCCACTTTAATGTGCTTTCTACCAGTCTGCAAAGCAAATCAACTCTGTCCTAAGAGCCAATCTCTACTCTGCCTTGATAATGAGGCCAGTGAGTAGTATTGTCCTAACCTTCTACATGCAGTGATTGGGGCCTGAATTTCCCTTCCTCGCAGTGTTCCCACTCCCCAATTGCTGGGTAGCAAAACAGGCACCACTGGTGTCCTATGGCTAATGATGGGGTGGCAGTCTCCTAGAAGTAGTCTTACTGTAAGTTTATTGACAACTCTGAGCTACTTTGTACTCTCATTCCTGCTCCTATCCACTGCGTGGATCACCTGCAATGTCTGATCCATGGAGGTGGGATGATGTCACCTGCGGGGTAAAATAGCATTGGTCACCTGACTCCTGTGGATCAGATGCTGCATATGATCAGTGTGCAGGTTTACAGTGGGCTGTGTAACAGACAGTAACATTCTTTATATTGTCCCCTCCCAGATCCCAACGTGACCTGCCTTCACATGGTCTGGGAGATTTGGGAGAGGGGAGAACATGACTTTTTGAAGCCTTATATACTCTCCCTTCTAGATTCTCTGTGCATCATGCCAACTGGAATTAGGTCCTAGCCCACTCTCAGCCATGGAAGCTTAATAGGTGGCTTTGGGCCAATAAGCTCAGCCTATCTCAAAGAGTTGTTGGGAACATAGGAGAACCAAGTGGTAGTATCTCTTAAATAAAAGATAGGATATAAATCAAATGAATACATAAATACAGCAACCCATTATCTCTTTCCTTTCATATTGCAAAATGTGCATTTAGCCAGTTCTGGCTCCAGTCTCATTAGTCATTACATGGGCAGGTGCCTAATGGTTGATCACTGCTGCTTGAGCCAAAATGGCCATGGTGGGAAGACACCAGTAACCCAAGAAAAGAGGTTGTGCCCAGAGCAGCTAAAAGCTGCCAGTGGGAATTCGGATCCACCAAAGCACCACAAATGGTACACATAGCAAGGTTTGTGTTGGGAGATATGAAATACCACTTTATCATTACAGCAGATAAATCCAAAGGTTGATGGCTTTGGTTATGGGTTTGGGGTGAGACAAAAGTAGGATCATGACATTCATATATGTACAGGTAAATGTGACACATGCTCACATTTATTGAAGAAGGAAAAATACCAGGGTTGGATTCAATTGGAGTTAGCGAGTGTAGTGTGTCAAAATTATGAAGCCAGGCATTGCTTAGGTGTCTAGACTTATTCTTACTTTCTATTTTTCCTTCTGTGGGATTGCTCAGGTTAGCAATTTCAATGGAAACTCCTTTTTGAAGATTGTTTGCATTTATGACTAAAAAGTAAATGGTACATTTCAGGCAGCTGAACAATAACTATTAAACACTACATCAAATATACCAGTTTATCTTCAGATAGGCGTCATACCCCCAAATCTTCAACTTTTGTAACCCCCCCCAAAACTTAGAAAAGCGGTAAGCATTTTCTAGCCAAAATCTGTATTTCCCGTCTTTAAGTTCATACCAGGAAGTAACTTCCATGTTATACAATAGTTCATCTTTTAAAAATTGGAGAAAAATCTAATTTTACAAATTAAAAAAGGTGGCGGATTTTTTTTAAATGTAGATTTTATTCCAAACAGTTGGAAGTATCAGCTTAATCCAATACTTGGAAGAAAACTTCAGATCAATAGGGCTTCTTATGAGATTGTAGTGTGGTATATGCAACTGATTTATAATCAAATAACATCTAACTCTGCTATTAGGATGGGTCTGAAGTTGTCTAGCAAACCTAATGTTTGGCTACATTGCCCTGCCATTATTTGTAGGGCTACCAGATCTAGGCTGCAAAAATCTGGACAAACATAGGATGGTAACAAAGAGGATTTGCAAATGGTCCAGATTTTTGCAGCCCAGATCTGGTAAAACTAACTATTTGAGGTCCCCATTCCCAAACCATTTCACCTTTTCTAGATCACTGATCACACGAAGCACTCCACCACCACTTTAAAAGAAAGAGACAGAGTGGAAAGAACAGAAAGAAAAGAAGTGCCTTTTAAAGCAGACAGAATCTACTCACTTTTTCTAAGTCCAAATTTTAGCTCTTTCTATAGCTCCCTTTATTGATGATCAAGCAAACACAAGTGAACAGGAAATGAAAGTGAAACACAAGTCTGCACCAGACGTCCAACCAGCTTTACTGAAATATTTAAATTTAACTCTATCATTTCCCAGCTCTACAGAGAAAGTGAGAAAAGCAAAGAAGGAGAAAAATGGACATAAGGGGAAACCAAAAGTTGACCCTGAGTGACAGACTGGCATGCCAAAGTCTGAAAAGGTTAAAAACTATTTA